ATGCTAAAAAATATTATAATCAATCAGGAATTATAAAACACTTTAGATAAAGCTTCTCTGTTGCTTTTAGTTTTGGAAATGCAGCATTTATACTTGCAATGTCTAAATGCTTTCATTTGACAAGGCTGTCTTGGAAATTGCTATACACCCCACTGAATATTTGGACAGTGGAATTTCCACAGCAAGCCTCCATTGCTTGATGTAGGTATTAGATGTGCATTTGAAGTTCACTGCTGGAATTGTCATGATGGTCTTCCACAGTAGAATTCCTCTTCTACCTACCCCATCTCCAACTACTGCTTCCAACTTGCACTGTTCTCTGAACAATTTCTGTCTCTTTCCAAACACTGCCATTGTTGTTGCCTTTAACTTGGCCACTTCTTTTTATCTTTCTCCTTTCAGTCTATAGATGAGGAAATACCTGACCAGTGGACAAGATAGAAGAGGGTGGTCTGGACTTCTAAAATGGCTCACTCAGTTTCCAACTATGCATGAGAGGAAACTGTGTTTCTTCCATCTGTGTGTTAAATGGACATAGATATGTTATAGCAGGCATTTTTTTTAGAAAAAAAAACAGCAGTAAAGTGTATCTTTAAATAGTGTGAAAGTAATAAAGATTCTCTATGGAGTCAATGAATCAGCTGCATCTTGTTGAATATCAAGTGACAGAAAGCCCAACAGAAACTTGCTTAAGCAAAAGTAATTTATTGTTTCAAGTAAGAGAAAGGTCAAAGTGTGAGTTTTGTTCAGGGTATTGCTAGAATCAAGAGTCAAGGAATTTTTAATTGATTTTGATTTTTATTTTATTTTTTAAAAATTATTTATTCATGAGAGACACAGAAAGAGAGCAGAGACATAGGCAGAGGGAGAAGCAGGCTCCCTGAGGGGATCTTGAAGAGGGACTCAGCCCAGGATCCAGGATCCGGGTTCACGACCTGAGCCAAAGGCAGATGCTCAACCACTGCCCATCAAGTAATTTTTTAAAACAAACTTTTTTAGAATAGTTTTAGATTTACTAGGAAGTTGTAAAGATAGCATAGAAAGTCCTCATATGCCATGCCTAGTTTTCCCTGTTATTACCATCCTACATGAATGCAGTGCAATTACCACATATAATGAGCAATATTGATGTGTTATTGGTATGTTGTTGATGGTATGTTATTATTAGCTGAAATCCATTGATATGTTGGTATGTTATTATTAGCTGACGTCTATACTTTATCAAGTGTCTTCAGTACTTACTTAAGGTACATTTTTTGTTCCAAGATCTTACATTGCAGCTAATCATCATGCCTGTAGTGGTTTTTGTATTTTCCTTGCTTTTGATGTTATTGACTGTTTCAGGGAACTGGTAAGGTATTTTGTAGAATGTCCTTCAACTGAGATTTATCTCCTGTTTTTCTCATAATATAAAGCATGGATTTTTGAGGTAGTGTTTGCCAGATTTCTCCACCATAAAGTTACTCTTTCCACTCCCCCTTTCCATATTGTATTTTTGGAAGGACGTTACCATGTGTGGTACTTATACTCCACTCAGAACAGCATCATAACTGAAACCACTACGATGATCTTAAGTTTTAATTTTTTCTTAGTAAGGCTTTCACACCCTTTTTAAATTAAGCCAGTAATTAATAGAACAGTAATTCCAATGTTTTAAAAAGTCATCTCTTGGAAAGACATACCAGTTTTAAGATATTTGCAATCACCATAAAATTTTGTATCCTGTTTTTTATCTGAAGGCAATTATTGGTTCTGTTTATATTAGTTAAGATTGTTTTTGCTTTTATTTTACTGCTTTAAGAAATTACACATTTATTGTAGAGATATAAAGGTTAATAAAATAAATATTAAAGATGCTTCTAATTTGAACTTTTAAATGTACTGTAGCTTAATTCTCTGTGAAATGTGTTCAAATTATAGTGGAACTCAAAATATCTTGGGTGACTTCTCAATTTGAAATCCATGAAATTGACATAATCAAATTGGGAACTCTGAAGTAAAACTTTGGTTACTTGGAATTTTTAGAGAATTAGACTTCCAGATTAAAAAAAAAAACTTTTTTTGAGTAGTACAGTGCAATGATACTTTTTTGAGTTTATATATATATATATATTAAAAGCTCCCTGACAAGAATCTTTTCCAATTCTCTTCTACCTGAAGTGGTGGATAGTGGTCATAATTTGTTTATTTTCTTATGACTCTATTAAAACCTTCCCTTTGAGTGCTGCATGTTTCTAAAAACATTTAAGTTTTGTCTTAAAAATGTTCCTATATATGTAAGCTTCTCAAAATCCAATTTGAGATTAGCATATCACTCAATATTTTAAGTCAATTTTATTAACAATTATCTTGTGAAAATGTTTGATATGCTAGATATGGTGACAATAAGTGCTTTATATATGTTCCATTTCACTTACTATTTTTGGGGGGACTTTTTAAAGGTTTTATTTAAATACTGGTTAAGTTATTATGGAGTGCAATATTAGTTTCAAGTATACACTATAGTGATTCAACACTTCCATACAACACCCAGTGCTCATCACAACAAGTGCACTTAATCCCCATCACCTATTTAACCCATCCCTCCACCCACCTACCATCTGGTAACCATCAATTTGTTCTCTATAGCTGAGAATCTGTTTCTTGGTTTGCCTCCCTCTCTCTTTTTTTCTTTTTTCTTGTTTGTTTTGTTTCTTAAATTCCACATATGAGTAAAATTATATGTATTTGTCTTTCTCAGACTGACTTGTTTTGCTTAGCATAATGCTTTCTAGCTCCATCCCTGTGATTGCAAATGACAAAATTTCATTCTTTTTTTATGGCTAAGTTGTACGTATATACCACATCTTTTTTTTTAAGATTTTATTTATTTTAGAGAGAGTGAGAACACAAGAGGGGCAGAGAGAGAAGCAGGGATATGGGGCTGATCCCAGGACTCCAGGATCATGACTTGAGCTGAAGGCAGACACTTAACTGACTGAGCCACCCAGGCCAATTTTTTTGTCTAGGCTATTTCCATAATTTGGTTATTGTAGATAATGCTGCTATAAACATCAGGGTGCATGTATCCTTTTGAATTAATATTTTTTGTATTCTTGGGTAAATACCTAGTAGTGTGATTGCTGGATCATTGGGCAGTTCTATTTTTAACTTTTTTTGAGGGATCTCTATACTATTTTCCAGAGTGATTGCACCAGTTTGCATTTCCACCAATAGTGCAAGAGTGCTCCCCTTTCTCCACATACTCGTCAGCACCTCGTTTCTTGTGTTATTAATTTTAGTCATTCTGACAGGTATGAGGTAGCATCTCATTGTTATCTTGATTGGTACATCTCTGAGGAACAGTGATGTTGAGCATCTTTTCTTGTCTCTGTTGGCCATATGTATGTCTTAATGCAATCCTTATCAAAATACCTACAGCATTTTTCATAGAGCTAGAACAAACAGTCCTGAAATTTGTATGGAACTATGAAAATTCCAAATAGCCAACGCAACTTTGAAAAAGAAAAGCCAAGTTGGAGGCATCAAAATTCTGGACTTCAAGTTATACAACAAAACTGTAGTGATCAAAGCAGTATGGTTGGTATTAGCACAAAAATGGACACATAGGTCAATAGAACAGAATAGAAAACCTAGAAAGGAACCCAAACTCTACAGTTAACTAATCTTCAAAAAAGCAGGGAACAATACATAATGGGAAAAAGACAGTCTCTTCAACAAATGGTGTTGGGAAAACTGGACAGCAACATGCAAAAGAATGAAACTGGACCACTTTCTTATACCAAACAGAAAAATAAATTCAAAATGTATGAGAGACCTAAATGTGAAACCTGAAACCATAAAAATCCTGGGGACAACACAGGCAGTAACCTCTCTACATGGGCCATAGCAGCTTCCTTCTAGATATGTCTCCTGACACAAGGGAAATAAAAGTGAAAATGAACTACTGGGACTTCAAAATAAAAAGCTTCTGCACAGTGAAGGAAAAAATCGACAAAACTAAAAGGTAACCTATGAGATGGGAGAAGATATTTGCAAATGACATATCTGATCAATGGTTAGTCCATGATATATAAAGAATATAGACAACTCAACCCTCCCCCAAATGAATAATCTAATTAAAAAATGGGCAGAAGAGATGAATAGACATTTTCCAAAGAAGATATTACTATTTATAATTTAGTGATATAGGTATTAAAATATCTGTTTTAGAGAAGAGGAAACTAAGGTTTAAGTTAATTAAGATCATACAGAAGAGCCATGATTCAAACCTTTTGTAGAACACAATGTATACGCTACATCTAAAAGCTAAGAAAGAGAACAACAGCCAACACCCAATGTAACACAAAAAAATCGAAATAAATATTAATTGTTCAGAGACCTCCTTTTTGGTTCTCTCACGCTCCTTCATGCCTGCTGGGTGTGCAAAGCCCTGACCACTCCTTACCCAGGCCATTTCTCAGTCAAGTACTTACAGAAAACAAAATTGAGGGATGAGGTAATGCCTCCCTTGGGAACAAAGAACAGACATCCCATGAAAGCAGCAGATTCCCCAATGTCAGAGTTCCTCTCCTGTATTTTCAGCCCCTTAAAATTTTCCTTGCATATAATGAACATCGAGGATATATTTGATGTGAGACCTCAAGGAAAAAGAGTGATTCATTAAAATAATAGATATGAGAAATGAGGGAGTATTATGACTAATTGTAACCCTTGGCTTCATTATTCTAAAAAAACAACAAAACTAAGCAATTAACTTCAATAGAAATAATACCTATTTCGGTGTCTTTGTGCCTGGTAAGTTCTTATTATTTTTTTTTACATTTTTATCCCTTGAAACAATGCTTTGTTGTAGGTAATATTATCATCCTCATTTTACAAATAAGGAAACTGAGGCTAGAGGCATTCAATGGTTTGCCCAAGGCTTCCTAACTAGCAAGTGGCGGAGCCAGGCTCTCTGAATGCATCCTCTCTGGTTCCAACACCCAGGCTCTCAATGACCTCATTAGGAAGTCACCACAATTGTTTTTATTTTTAATTTTTTTGGCAATCAATGGGAGCTTTTATAAAGAATTGGTCTTTGGTCCAATTTTCATCCAGGAATTGGTCCAGTTTCCATCAAGAAACAGAATGCAGAGGGATCTGCAAAGATAAAGACCCAGGAGGTGCTTCTGATATACACACAATACAAACCCGAGGAAGAGTCTGTCATTTGCAAAAAGAGCGCGGAAGGTGGTGTCAGGGCCCTTGAAACTCATGGTTCTTATGCAAGTGGCTTTCTCTTGGCAAGACTCAACACTGCATGCAGGTGCTCTTCCAGGTCCTGGCGTATGAAATCAGCCCCCAACAGAGGTCCAGGTAAATGTTTTAAAGGAGCCCAAAAAAGACTGAGTAAGGTGGCCACCCTGGGTCTTTTTTTTTTAAAAAAAAGATTTATTTATTTATTCATGAGAGACACAGAGACAGGCAGAGGGAGAAGCAGGGAGCCCAACGCAGGACTTGATCCCCAGTATCCAGGATCACGCCCTGGGCCAGAGGCAGGTGCTAAACCAGTGAACCACCGGGGCTGCCCTAACCCACCCTAGGTCTTTACCATGAGGCATCTGAGGTTGGCAGGTCCCCCTGTCAGTCTCTCCATTATGATTTCTGTCTCTCTCTCTCTCTCTCTCTTTTAAATTCCAGGTACTGAGGTTCTTGCTCTTTTCCAGGAGTCTGCGCCGGGTCTCCACACACCTAAATTTAAGGGGCTGAAGATGGGCATGTGAAGAACCAGGGGACAGGCAATTTAGGGAAGAGAACGAAATGTTAGGGTCGAAACGAAAAAAAATAAAAACAAAAAAAAAAAAAAGAAAAGAAAAAAAACCCCCAAACAACCCAACACCCCCCCCCCAAAACAAACAAACAAACAAAAAAAACAAACCCAACCTTGCTCAGGAAGAAAATGAATATAATCCAAGCTGACCCTTTCTTGCTTCGCGTCTCATCCACAACAGGAAGTGCGTCCCCGGGTAGCTAGGCAACAGCGTTGCTGTGGCAACCGGGAAGGTCGGAGGGCTCCGGCGTCGAGGGCCCCCGCGGCCCGACCGGGCGCGGAGCCGTCGGTGGCGGGCGACGAGGCTTGTCAGAGTCTCGCGAGAGTTGCGTGCGGTTGCGGGCGGGCGCGTTGGCGTCCGCTGTCGGGAGGCGCCGGGTCGCCGGGGGCGATGGCTGCCAGGCCGGGGGTGCCCGGCTCGGCCCTGCGGGTGCTGGAAGAGGCGCTGGGCTTGGACCTGACGGCCGCCGGGGACACAGCGGAGGCGGTGGCCGCCGAGGGCGCCTTCTACCTGGAGCGTATCCTTACGTGCAGGCGCGCCCCTCGGGAGCGGGTTTGCGGCGAGGGCGCCCCGGGAGGCTGGAGGCCGCGCCGCAGGTCAGGATGCCCGCGGGCCTCGAGGGCCTGGAGGCGCCTCCGCCGGCCGGGAGGGTCGCCGCCGCGGTCCCCAGGGCCCGGGCTGCTGCGTCCCGGTGGGAGGAGCCCCCGGGCAAACCCCGGGCGGAAGCGCCCCCCTGCGACTCAGCAGATGGGCCCTGACCGGCCGGGTCTGCGGGCCGTCAGCGTCCAAGGCAGCGTCGGGTCGGGCTGTTTGAGGATGATCACTACATCTTTGATTTTAAAGCCACTAAGGGAGGACCTGGAGAGCTGAAATGGGATGGTAGGAAGAGGTCAGACGGTGACGAATGAACAATTATCTGCAAGTACGAGAACCATGGAAGAGCAAGCAGTCGGTGGGTGAGAGCTCACCTCCCCCAGGCACGCAGAGTAATTGCACTGGAGAAGGAGACTTTAGGGGAAAAAGTTAACCTTTTTTTTTTTTTTCAGGCAGGTAGGAGAGAGATGGTGATCTCTTTTATTCTTGAAGACATCAAGGAAACTCCAAAATCCACCTTATTATTTTTTTTCGTCCGACTATGAATCCCCCCGCCCCCCCCCCCCCCCCAGCTTTAAACCAGGGCTTCAGAGACCTGACAGCGGTTCGCCCCGTGGCCTTTGGCCAACGCTTGGACCTGACCTGACTCGGACTCTACACGTCGGTGCTTCACGGAGCTTTGAAGAACTTAGTTGCAAGGATCAAACAAAATATGTAGTATTTTATTCAATGCAAACATGAGTTTTTATAGGCATGTCAGTTTGAATGGTTCAAGATCAATTTAAATAAGATCTCTGGGTACCTTAGTGTCTTAAATGAGGGTTTTATATACTTGGTAGCTCTAAATAGCTGCCTTTTCCAGGAACATTCCCTTTTTAAATCCAGAAATGGGTCAACAGTTCTTTGAGAACTTACCTACATCAACTATAAAGTTACCTAGGGTCCCGGGTAGCGAGTGGCAACCAGGCATCTTATTTTTGTCTACACCAAGATGATTTCTGTAACACATAGTTTAATTGTTAACATGAGACAGAACACACTGAGTTAACTTTTTTTGCACTTTTTGGAACTCCAGTATAGCACAGCTTTTAGGTTTACTGAATTTTCAGGGGGACTGCTGAGTCGCAACAGCCGATACATAGCACAAAACCTGTCTTACAAGGAATTCTCCAGATAATCATATTTGTGAATATAAGCAACTCTGACTTTTTAGGATTTTATTATCCAGTTTCTGAATTATCTGGCCCCTTTGCTTTTCTTTCATCTTTCTTTAGTTGTCTGATATTTTGGGTTTCAACCAAAGGGTAGTTGAGGGATAGCAAAACTACATATTTTGCCAATTTTACTACATTAAGTGTTTAGGTAAGAGGTTTAGTCATGAGAGAGGCTTTAACCCTTAGTTAAAATGAAGTTTGAGGATTACTTTTGATTGCTAATTATCCCTGTATCCCTGGTCTCTCTTAACATGCATAATTAAGAGTTGACTGTATAATGTTATTTGACATTGTTTCTTAAGGTAATTATGATAGTTGCTGAAGTGAGACTTTCTTGAGTTTAAAGTCTTTAGCTCTCAGGTAATTTAATTGAGCTATCACAGTGGATAAATAAAAGTTATAATATGCACAAATGAATCAAATCTGATGTTCTGTACTTTCCACATACACTTTATCACTTCTAATCTGCATTTGCTCTTGGGCTTCTCTTATTTATGACTGAACAGATGCTCCTTAGAACACTAGATATCAAGATATCAATAGTAAGTCTTTGAAAGAGGTTGACTCTAATTCTCCAGGAAGTCACCCTTTTCTTTGCTGTTAAATATTCAAACATAAAGAACATGTACAGACTAACAGGGCCCAAACCAGAAACACCCAGAATCCACCATGAGGGTAATGGCTTCATTAGTAAAGCCTGTATGTTCTTTATGAGCTTAGAGAATGTATTCAGGAAAAATAACTCTTTCTCCTGCAATACCCCTTCTTTGTAACCTACTACCTGTAAAGGTGTAGGTGTTACCTGCTTCTCTTCTGAAGTGGTTACAGTATCATTGATTTTATGCTTTAAACTTCCACAAGGCAAGATACAAACATGCATGCACATAGTTCCTTTCTTAGCTATCTCCAGAGCTTTTAAGAAATCCGTTTATGCAGTTAAGAGTCCTCCGGAGAACTCTTCCTTAGAAAGGTTTTTGCAACATTGTAAAATATAAGGCTAGGTTTTAACTATGTGCTTTGTAAAGGGTCAAGTGTTTGTAAAGGTTGGTTGTTTTTGTGAATGAATTTTGTTAGAAATGGGTACCACTTGGGTAAGGTTTTCAGTTGCAGTAGAAACTGCGGCTAATGTGTGGCTTTGGACATTTGGGAATGCCCATTCCAATTGGCTGGAATGAATTGTACTAAGAAAGTTAATACTGAATTGATTTTGTTGCTACTTGTTGAAAGTTCAAGGAAGAATAATGGAAAACAGGGACTCTAGGAAAGTGGAGCCCCAAACTATTGTTTTTGTTATATGTACTTCCTTTTGCACTGATTCTCTACTCCCCTAACTAGATTTTGATTATCTTTCAAAGGCATTCCAGCACTAAGAATTTGGCTACTTAGATAATTGACATAAGTTTGCTGACCACTGAAGAAGGTCTCCTTTGGCCCCAGTGGCAGTGTCTGAGACTTTAGCCAGTCCTTTGAAGCTAATCAACTCTGAATGCAGTCCCAAAGTCAACTGTTTCTGAAATGGCAAAATTAAGGATTTCACTAGTCACCTGAAATATGGTGATCACACTTAGATAACCCATATGATAAGATGCATGCTTGTTTTCTAAATGACATCCCTACACAATCTTTCATTGCATTTTATATGCATGAAAGTTATGAGCTATTGGGAAGAACAAATTGTAAAATTGTATTTTGTTGTGTGTCCTCTAGCCTAGGCAAACTTTAATGTGCACGTGAATAAAAAAATTTGGGTCTTTAAAAGAAGACTAATTCAGTAAGTCCCAGTCAGGGCTGAGATTCTGCATTGCTAACAAGCTCCCAGGTGCTGCGGGTGCTGCAGGTGCTGCTGGTCTAAGTAGTATAATTGAAGTAACAAGGATGTCTACAAATTTCTTAACTACTAGCCTTTAGATTTTCAGATAACAGGTATAATATGTGGAGCTCATATCCTTGGATATCTGGCTTAGAAGTTGGGTAAACTTAAACCACCATCCACTATGAGAATGATGGGCTTTATATTTTGAAAAAAACAAAACAAAACAAAACAAAACAAAAACGTTATTTTCCAGCTTCTGAGGCAGAAGATGACGGTGATGTCTGGGTCAGGGGTAGTCAATAAATTTGCACTTGTGCTGAGTCCATGACTCCCTGGTATGTGGTATTAAGAGTTCTAAGACCTCCTGAAGACTTGGTGGGAAAGACTGCAAAAAACAAACAACAATGGTGGGGGGAGTGGAAGCAAGTGTGCCAGTTATTTGCCATCTTTGGTATATATTATTTCCGTGATCTTACATTATTTAAACTGGCATTCTTAAGAAAGGGGACAGTGGCTATGATGTTCGCTATTTACAGTACTTTTGTTTCAATTTAGTAAGTAAAATGTTGATCATGGAGAATCCAGGCTAGATTTTAGATTGCCTCTGTGTATATTGGCTCTGTAGTGATGGCAAAGATTATAAAGCAATTTCTGTCTATAGTAGCTTTGGGAAATCATGTAAAATATAATTAGCTATATGTTTCACTCCAGTTCTTTATAAAGATGCTGCTGCTGGCAGTGATCACTACCTCCATTGCAGCAGTGGAAGAGACCAGTGTGTGAGGAACTTTGTATGGTGCTCACATCTGAAAATTGTTCATAGCTTTCTGGCTGTGGTCCATTTGCAGAACCTTGTTTGTGACCCTGTTGAATCAACTGTCACCTCAAGCTCTGCTCCATTACACCAGCTGAAATGCTTCTCTGTGTCTTCTTGCAGTTGTGTCTTCTGTAGTGCTGTGATGGATTTAGGGTTTCCTGGTAGTTTCAGTGTGAATGTATTATTGGGCTATTTTCTGAGAGGGTCTATAAGGTTAGGATCTGGTACAGATTCTGCTAGTGCAGAAACTATCAGTTAGTTCACTCATGGTGACCAGGTACCAGGGAACCGATTCATGGTATGTAAAATCACAAGTCCTACTAAATTTCTTCCATAGCAAGTGGAGATGTCGAATGAGTACTTGGTCTGAGTATAGGCTCTGACTCTAGGATATGGAACCTGGCCTAGAACTCAGTGGTGCTGTGGGCTGTGGCTACAGATCAGGGAGGAAGGGAAATCACAGATGGTACCCTGGGCAAGAGCAGACTAGAAAACTGGGCACAATATTTAATGTCAAGTTAACTTCAAGTAGACAGAGAGGTAATGGCTACATCTGAAGGGAATAGAAAGGATGAAAAAAAAATGAATTTTGGAAATGGAATTCAACAATGTTCTTTGAAGGAATACTAGGCAGATAATACGAAGGGAGTTCTGTAAGAGCTCAGAATCAGGTTGGCATTAACAAACTGATTTTAAGACAGAATTCTGGCTTATTCTTCAATGGAAAAAAAAATCACTTTTTTCTGAGAACTATGACCAGCTTAATTGTATGGACATTTCCTGGAGAATAGTATCACCTAAGAGATGAGATTACACATGAGAAAGTTGTCCAGGAAAAGTAGAACGAGAGTAGAGGGTTTTTATCATTCAGGCAATTCTTGGTCAATTGCTTATTCCTGTCCTGGCAACATTGCTTCTGA